TTTTTGACAAAGTCCCAGCTTTGGCTGAAGAAGCTGAGAAAGGTTAAAGGTCATAGCTGCAAAGATTTGGTACTTGGAGGCAGTTGAGAGAAGACATGACGGGCGAACTGGGATATTTTATTTAATCTATCAACATGAAACTCCTTTAGATCACTACGTACTTTTATTTTTCTACAGTTAAGTAACCCAATAATCATTTGCCCATCTTTCCTCCTCATTGTGCAGCTTAACAGCCACTCCACTTTCTCTCAAACAGTCCTGTTTGTCAGATGAGGTTGTTGTGGCTTTTTCTTCATCACTCACTTTCAGCTTCTTAATTACAGTTTGAACTCTGCTGACCGGCATTCTCATTTCCCTGATTATATTTTCATATCCTTTTCCTGTTTTATAAAGTTCAACTATGTTCTCCAGCAGATCCTTTGAGAAGTCCAACATCAGTGCAGCACTGGAAACGTGCAGGAGCCCAGAAACTCACCGACCTCATTACAAGCAAACAGATCACAGGTGAGAACGATCATCTTTAGTAGTCATTTAAACCTGTGTGTGTCAGCATATGTGGATGGTATCATGCCAACACTTAAAAATAATAAATGATTTTACTGAAACCACCAACCATGAATGAAAAACATTTTTGTAGCATCATTCATATTTTCTGAAAAAATTCTGCCAGGATACATAAACATATGAACTGAACTCAGGATACAGGTCAGGTCCAAACGTTTGTGCTGCACTGTAACATAAACTCCCCTCAAACTTTCAGCTACAGCACAGCCTGAATTTAAAGACATAATCTTTATTTGTCACAGCGGCTGTGGTAACGGTCAGACATGGAGAGAGTGGAGAGCCATGGGAAAATACGGAGGGAAATTAAGTTATGGGAATGAGATTTACAGAGAGAAAAACAAGCAGAAGCAGATTTGATCCATTTCTATCGATTAAGTTTTTAATCTAATTGATTAAAAACTTTTTCATGCATTTTTGCTCATGACGATGACTCCAATATGTTTTAATGACAGGAAGAAAAACAAAGAAAGCCTTGCACACTATGGAAGGTACAAAGCATAAAAACAGGTTTGTAGTTTATCAGGTATCTGCAGGGTTGGACCGAAAAAAATTTTTTAAAAAAGTTTTCTAATGCAAAACAAAGTAAAAATACTATTTACTATTTCACTATATCATGTTAACCTCTACAACTTCTTCATAACTAAAGTGTGCCTCCTCTGCAGCAGAGTTTCTAATGTCCATTAACTTCTGAATCAACCTTTTTTACCTTTTACCTTCGTAATTCATCTCAACACTGAACTAAGCAAAGCCATGTTTTGCCTCCCTGTGACTGCAGTCTTCCGGTAACTGCATGTTTTAACCTCGACTTCTATCTGCGGACAGCGTGTCAGACTCACCATCGGCTTCTTGTATTCATTGGGTTTGATGCAGCGGACGAAGAACGGCTGACAGACGCTCAGAGTTCTCATCAGCAGCTCCAGAGATCTTTTAAACTGGCTGCTCAGGGTGGGCGAACGCTTCCTGGTTTCTGCTCCCTACACACACACACACACACACACACACACCAACAATCCTGTTAGAAACAATGAGGACTCCTCCTGCTCTTCCTGAGCTCGGACACCAACCTCTTTCCTTTCTGAACAGCAAAGTCTGACGCTTCAGCTTCACTCAGTCAAACCTGCTGACTGAGCAGCGACTGTGTCACAAGGAAGGAGCTGCAATCAATTAACTGAAGCATCAATCAGCTC